CTACCCTCTACATACAATGTATAACGTTTAGCCTGATTCTTAGCAAACAATCATTGGCGGTTCGTTGTCACCCATTGTGCATCATCCATCCCTCTGTCCTTAAACAATTTTTGTTCCGCTTATTCCTTGAGAAGTACGGGATTTAATATTTTAAAATCCATATGTAGACTCCTCTTTGTTCCTAAGTTCCATTGTCCCATATTTGGAATTGATCCAAAATGAACTGGTTGACAAGCAATGCAACTACCGGTATCTTATCTTGTGACTGTGATAGTCTCTTATCACAATTTCCTAAGAAGCACTGAATGGATCCTACCCAAATTTCATATACATGTATTAAGGTTCCTCTTAGTCTCTGGTTGTGCAATGATTTTGGGACTAATCTGCAAAAAAATATGCCAATGAGCAAAAGTGTTGGATTTTGATGCTAATAGTTTGTTATTGCTATTTCTGGAGAAGTGTTTGATGGATCACTCTCAAATTTCACGTAGTCTTACCTAGGTCCCTAGTTGTGAATATATAGTCCATTTTGAGATTAACTGGAAAAACAAGATGGCTGACAGGTGGCATCTTATATTTTTACCATGAAAGTTTGTTGTTTTATTTTTGAGAGATCTTTCTTGAATTTCGTATGAATGTTCTCCTTAGTCATAAGTTGCGCCCTTTCAATTTCGGGACTCATTAGAATAAGAAGCCAATAGTGGACAGGCAACCATCTTGGATTTTGACTATGGAAAGTATGTCATTGCTATTTCTTGGTAAGATCTTGATGAAACTTTCTCAGATATCCTATATACAGTAGGTTCCCCTTGGTTCTTAGCTTTGCTCTTCTTATTTGTGGATTGATTACAAAAGAAAAATAACCTGCAAAAACGTGGCCATCTTGGATTTGACACTAAAAGATGATATTACCGCTTTAACTTTTAGAGAAATTTTTGTACAATAAGGAGGGAAACAAAGATCCCACAGGGAATTCCTGTCTTTACATTTCCATTATTCTACTAAACAAACTGGAGCCAGTAATGGTGAAAGTATCTTTTTTTTCATAAGCAGTGTAGATGTATATAGTTAAAACAAATCTAAAATTGAAGATAAATTTTCTAAGTTACATGTATTCATCCATGTGATTTGGTACACTCTTTGCATGTCACTCATATATATGCTGATATTTCAGCAACAAAAGGCCATTCAGTGGTACATACAAGGAAAGTAACATCAAACCTGCACACACCAAGAGGTTGATCAGAGAAAACAAGACCAGTGTCCAAGGAAACAAGGCTTGTGCTAGAGGAAACAAAACCAGTTCACGAGGAAACAAGACTAATGTCAGAGAAAACAAGGCTCTTCCTCATACAAAAAGATGCCGCCAAAAGAAATCAACAAGTGCTTCTAAGAAGTCAGCAACTAATGTATCAAAGAAAAGGTTAAAGAAAAAAAATGTTAAAGATGAATTACAAATTTTTGATGCTTCAAACAAAAAGATTGATTCAAGACTGTCTGACCATTCGAAACGATGTATAGGGCGTGAAATTAGTATATTACAAGCTCACCAAGACCAGGCAATGACTGATACAGATAGTGTGTGTCCTTCATCTGACTCTAACAGACTGACCAGTCTAGCATTTCTAGAACTTAAAGACTTGGTAAAAGTGCCAGATCCATGCAAATCACTTGAAAACCAGTCTGTGTACATGTCCAGGAAACATGTTGGTGGGGTTTGGAATTCTATAGTGAAAAAGTAATAACATGTCTATATTTACTATCTTAATAGACAACATTAAACCAAAGAACTGGACAAGTAAATGTGTGTAAGTATAGAATTAACTTTATTTGGTATTATTGTTGAAAGATTGTGACTTACATAATGTGCTATAAGTACAAATTTTTCTTAAAACTTCAGTGCAATTTATCTGATATACATTATAATATAGGTATCACTATTGATTATTACAACTGATGAAGAACATTCTCTAGCCGATTCATACTACATGTGTCCTTCCAGTCATGCCCCAGCAACATGAACAGTACTCTGTTACTAGAATCATGTACTATTGTCTTAACAGAAATATCTTAAGCATGTTTTAATGAAATGAATGGATGATAAATGATAAAAACATTATAAATGATATTTTATCGTCTGTTATGTATCAAGTAGTTACTAAAAAATTTTCTTTCTATTTGGGTGGTCGGGTGGCGCAGTGGTAATGCACTCGCCTTTCACCTAGCCGACCAGGGTTCGATTCCCGGAATGGACATGAAAAGGTAAGGGGTCACCTGCCCGACCATGTGGGTTTTCCCCGGGTACTCCGGTTTCCTCCCACAATAAGACCCCTTGCACGCTTACATCCGGGCCAACAAGAGTGATTAGTATAAGTTGACATTACTTGTTTCGCAATTGTTGTAAAATAAATAAAGTTTTATATTAACATAGCACAAAAAACCAATCGTCTTTTAATGTTGTGGTGTGTCATCCATTATTTTTTATCTTTTGTAATTCTGTTTTGGAGAATGTGATCTTCTGGTTAATGCCAAAACTTACAAAGTGTTTAAAAAAGTGCTACATAACATTAGTGAACAGATTAGATGTTGATCCATGTGAATGGTCATCATGTTCTAATGTGAAAAATTGCTCCAACACGTCGCATCTTATGAAGTAGAAAGAAACTCAGAACATTAAACGACATGAAGCTTGCAGTTTATTGGCGAGAAAAGCTCCAATTTTGTGAAAAAGATTGACTTTGGGTCATATATATACTATACACTAATGGTCTTGGTTACAGGTAATTATCTGAAAATGTCCTACTTCTCAAGGGCATAGCCAGAAGGAGATGATTTATATCTACATTTAACTGTAACTACAGCTGGGACTGCCAGTTGTGTAATATACTGGAAAAAATCAAACACACTCTTCTGGTTAACAAAACTGACAAATGATTGTTTATTAAACAATGTTATCCATGATGGGGCCTCGTCAATATAAATGAAAGTGTCTGGTTACTTGACATATATGTGGTTTGTATGATATAAATGTCTCGATTTTTGCCAGTTTTCTTCAGAATTTCTCTGAAACAGCTCATTGAAATATTTGCTGTTGTCCTGGTATTTTGTGTGTCCATGTTATATTTCCCTGTTAGTTTAACTGATAAATAACACTCTAACAGGGATGACAAACAACTTCTACAGAACTGATTGTCTCAGATTCAACATATGAGACTAGTTTACTGGTAAGAGTTGTTCCAATGAAATATCTATTCCACCCTAGTGCTCAAGATTTTGTATATGGGTAGCAGACATATAGAATTTAATAATTTGCTTAGAAGCAATAGGTAATTAACCATACTGTGGATAAAATAGATATATTTTAGAGTCCTAGGGTCAGGTGAATGTTTTAAAAGGATAATCTTAACAAAAACTACATAGTTTAATAAAAATGAAGCAGTTGAACAAGGATTATTGGAGTCAAATTACGCCAAACAACTACATGTGCCTAAGAATTAATGAGTTTGGCTAGTAATACATTTGCTTTCATCATCTTCTACCTAGTTCAGAGTTATTCTCAGTATTTCATTTTGAATTAATTGTAGTTAACAAAATGTTTCCTCTAATATCATTAAAGTTCTGATCACAAGCCTACAAAAGTTTTAAATGTGAGATGCTGGTGGAAATCTGCATCAACATAAGTTATACTGACATAACTGTTAGAGTCATCAATCTTTTTTTATTTTCACAATATGCAGTATTTTTAGCAACTCGATTAATTTTCAATCACCATTCTACAGAAAGTTCTATATCAAGAAACTGACTATTTGATCAATATTTCTCTTTTTAACTGAGTTTCATTCCACAGCTGTTTATACCTTTGTCTGCTTGGAGTTTTTATCTGAGAACCTTCATGGTCATTTGTGTAGGGTCTTCTTATAGCAGGCATTGGTTCCCTCACAGATCATCATGTTAGAGGTATACTTAACTATTCAGATCAATTGAGGTGAAGTCGTTGCACAACAGCAAAGGAGGATCCATGATCTAATATAAGCTGATTCATGGGAATCAGTACAATGCTACCTCAAGGTAGGGATCGAAGCACATGCTTTACCTCATGTTACAAAGTCTTATACTCTACTGATAGAACTGTTGCAGATACCCTAGATTTTTTTATTCCTAATGTTGTAGAGAACCATTTAGAGTGTTGTCTACAAAGTGTGATCATAAATGTAACCCAGGTAACTACCAGCCGCAATATACCACTCTCTTTTCTTTAGCTTGATTGGTTGATTTGAAATAAATATTGACCTCTGTTACATAAATACTATGTAGTGTCATGTACATTTGAGAAATCTCTGATGAAATAAAATCTTAATGTAGATATCAACTGATCAGGAACAAGAATGGAAAAGTCATGATGTCACTAGAGAAAGAAAGACTTGGAATATATATATAGTGTATCATTCTTGTAAAATGCTGAAGTATGTCTACATACATATATTTGATATGTGATAAAAACAATCTTTCATTCATTCCCATTTCATATCCGAGATTGATGAAATTGTGTAAGGTTGATCACCAAACACTTGGAAAAAATAACAATTTTAAGACATGTTTCGTTAATTTTTACTCTGGAAGCATGTGCAACATTTTTCATTGTACACTGTGTGTATTGGGTTCGTATGTGTGTATGTGAGTGTATGTATACTTAGTATTTATGAACTATCAAATTTTAACTGGAAATCTCACAGAAAAGAGAATTTGGTTTTATTTGGTTGCTATACTTGCCAGTTTGACAAGCTTTTATTTAATATGTATCTATTCAAATATAAACATTTATATTCTGTACTGATAAGTTAGCTTTTCGCCAGTTTAAAATGTCTGTTTACGTTTCGATGAAATCTTTCCGCATTTTCTATATTATTTTCGTTCCGTAAATTAACTCTACCCGTCACAGCTAAGCAACCGTAAACTTCCGGTTACAATCTGGGAGGAAGGATTCGACATACTAGTTAACTGATGTGGTATTTAATGACTTTCGTCGAGATAGGATCAGAATGTCACGACCTTCTACATCGAAAAAGCAAGTCAACCCCAATGAAACCATTGAACGTATGCTTAACAAAACGACCCTATCAACACAGCGAGTAGCACACCGGCAAATCGTTGGTGAGTGCCCCTTAAAACCCCACTTGATAAGAGCTAAGATACGAACGGCTTTCAGTCTTAGTGTTAACTTCATGGGGGTAGTTTAATTTACTTTGTAACATTTGAATTGTATTGACACGTAAACTGATTGGAATAAGCAAACTATCGAGAATTCTTAACAATAAAATCGCGTCAATCTTATCTTGGATATGTGAAAGCGAAGTTGAAATGGTCCCTTTAAAGTTCACGCGTGTTATCATTCCTAGGATCAATCGTATCAAAGAAAGTAAATACTTTGTATATTTCGGTTACAACTGTGCAGTGTGAGCTTGGTCAGCCACATAGGGCTTTATAGATTAGAGCTGATCTAATTCTACTGGATAGAGCGTGCGTGCGTTCTTTAGATTCTTTTAATCAGTATTTTCGATAGAACTGGACTAGTACAATTATACAGAGTATCCTAGGTGGAAATGAAAGGTTAGGAAATGTCTTACAGATTTTGAATGATGTTGACGTTTGAACTAGTCACTGCTTCTTTAAATCCTGGCTTATTTGCAAATTATTCTTCTTATTTGGGTGAATTTATTTACTATAGAGCAAATAAAACTTACAATTTTAGTCACAAGAAGCTGACTAATTACAGTGACGTTTATTGTAACAATTTCGTTTTCTGAAGTTGAACTAACCAATGTAAAAAGATGTAAAATTAGATAAGAAAATTATGCTCTTGGTAAAAAATATTATTATAAGGGCATTTTCTCAATATTTTCAAATATAAAAAGCTTGTGGTGAAAGAGTATGTGCTCAGAATATCACTGTATTGACATGGTGTTCTGTTATATAATTACATACGTACACGGTCAACAAAAAGAAACAAGTGAATCAGTGTCAACGTTTAAGATACTGAAAATCAGTGGAAACATAAATTTTAACGAAAAATCTTGTTAAATGAATTTTGCCAGTGGATTCTGATATACATGATCAAATTGATATTATCGAATTGTTTTCTTTATACATGTGTGTAAGACACACAAAGCGCTAGAGACAGACATTATGATCATGTTTCAGTTTTTGAAACTTAATCTCGCTCAGGTTGTTGGAAATAATTCAAGTTTTATTTTGAATATCAAATTTCACATTTTAAAATAAATGCAGTACATGTATATTTTTGATGTCAGATATAACAAAGATGGATCAATGATGATAAAAATGATATCATTGTATTATTTTTAATTACATTATAACCAACTGTGAGTTCTTAATTCTGAGTGCATTGTTAATAGATTATAAATCAATAATATTTACAATATGTGATATTTTATATGTATATGCTACATAAAACTGCACACAATTCAATATTTTGTTATTTGATACATTTAAGATATATTTGAATGTGTTTGATATGCAATATTTTACTTATTATATTGTATAGATATTTTCTTGAGATGAGTTTTCACTCTAATTGAATTTGAAACAACTGTTAGAATGCATGCTTCTTCACAATCAAGTTACTTTCTAGTAATATAATCAAATTGTATAAAAAAATAAAGAGATAAAAAAAGTATACTTAAAGTAGAGGGAAAATGGCTTTAATATTAATATTCAAACATTTACATTAGTCATTCTGACTGAAGAATTTGCCAATTTCATATTGAGAAGACAATGACAAAATTACTTTACAATAAATGTGAGGCCTAACAATTAACTGAGTTGTCCTCAAACACTGAATTTCAGTTTTTTCACAAATCAGAGATAAATTCTTCATAATATGCTGCTTTTATCTGTACATTTACTTTACATATTATATTACTGACACACATAAGAATTGAATTTACAGAAGTTAAACTTCAAAGTTTTACTGTTTTTAAGTTGAAAATACTATTCTTGAAACAGTTTTTTCTTTATTTGACTCGTCATGATTGTGTCGCAGTTATTCATAGGTTGTCTTGTAACACTTAATGTGTGTAGACCTCTCTGTGACTTGTGAGCTAATGTAGTATACACAGCTGGTGGAAGTTTCAATGTTATCAATATCTGAAGCCATGGAAAGGTGTGGAAAAACATTACAACAAGGCACATTTAAGCCTAGTCAGCTTTTGGGCTAACACCATGGCAGAACTGAAATCTCCGCAGTCTGTATAGACATCATTTAAGTCATATAAGATCTGTTTTATATTCATTAATATCACCAATACATATATATTGCTTTGGAGTTGCCATGCAGCTTAAATAATATAAATTGTTTTTTGAATACTGTTGTTTTCACATATTTTCAAAACATTTTTTACAGTAAATTGTTAATTGCTTCTACTAAGCTTTGGTATGTCCATCTTTTTTCTGTTAAAGAAAACCAACTTACTTTGAACTGATCCATGTAAATGTAAGTCTGGGTGCACAGTTACTAAGAATAAACGTAGATCATTTAATGAATGTCAAAATTTATTGCTCTCCCTTTTTGAAAATAATTAAAATCTATTTCTAAAATCAAATCAGTCTATATGTTGTGAAGGGCCCGTTTTAGAAATGAGTCATAAATCACAACTAATAATTGGTCATAAAACAAGTATGCTAGTTTATAAAGTAAGGTAAAATTAATGGAATTAGATTATGAATTTGATAGAACCTAACAAAGCTCCACAGTGTATTAGAGGTGAGATTGTTGGTATATTATTAATACACCCATGTCCAAGTGTTGATGAAGTCTATGGTTTAACACCACTCAACTCCACTCAATTGTTTAACTGTGCTTGATGTTGACAATGAGAACAAGTACAAAGGATACAAATGATAATGGTGTTGACAGCATTCTGTATGGACAGCATGGGCTATTGTCCAAGTTCAGGCGTCCCCTCAGTGCTAATGTCCTGAGAGGGAAGAAAGGTAAGTGTGATATAGAGTTATACTGTCCATGTTCAGGCGTCCCCTCAGTGCTAATGTCCTGAGAGGGAAGAAAGGTAAGTGTGATATAGAGTTATACTGTCCATGTTCAGGCGTCCCCTCATGCTAACATTCTGAGAGGGAAGAGCGTCCCCTCAGTGCTAACGTCCTGAGAGGGAAGAGCGTCCCCTCAGTGTTAACATCCTCAAAGGGAAGAAGGGGGAAATGTGATATATAGGTATGCTGTCCATGTTCAGGCGTCCCCTCAGTGCTAACATCCTGAGAGGGAAGAAAGGTAAGTGTGATATATAGGTATGCTGTCCATGTTCAGGCGTCCCCTCAGTGCTAACGTCCTGAGAGGGAAGAGCGTCCCCTCAGTGCTAACGTCCTGAGAGGGAAGAGCGTCCCCTCAGTGCTAACGTCCTGAGAGGGAAGAGCGTCCCCTCAGTGCTAACGTCCTGAGAGGGAAGAAGAGTAAGTGTGATACAAGTATACAGGTATACTGTCAATGTTCAGGCGACCCTCAGTGCTAATGTCCTGAAAGGGAAGAAAGGTAAGTGTGATATATAGGTATGCTGTCCATGTTCAGGCGTCCCCTCAGTGCTAACGTCCTGAGAGGGAAGAAAGGTAAGTGTGATATATAGGTATGCTGTCCATGTTCAGGCGTCCCCTCAGTGCTAACGTCCTGAGAGGGAAGAAAGGTAAGTGTGATATATAGGTATGCTGTCCATGTTCAGGCGTCCCCTCAGTGCTAACGTCCTGAGAGGGAAGAAAGGTAAGTGTGATATATAGGTATGCTGTCCATGTTCAGGGATCCCCTCAGTGCTAACATCCTGAGAGGGAGGAAGGGTTAGTTCAGAAATCTTGTAAATCTTGAAAATGAGGGAAAGGTGAATTTAATGTACATTTGTAGGTACAGATTTATGGTTACATAATGTAAGTTCAGTTTCTCCTCAGCGTTAACAACTATTGATAAGTTAAAAGATTAATGGAAGAAAATCTATTGATTTCAGAACTTGGCGACTACCTTTTAAACAATAAGGCAGATAACTCTAAGGAGGAGAGGGAGCGAGAACTACAGGTGGCACTTGATGCTGCCGAGGCTAGGGCAACTCGTGAACTCCGTGCTGCTATAAAAAGATTGCGTAACTCAAAGGATGAGGAAAAACGCAAGGCTCTGCAATTACAGCAAGAAGTAAGATTGGAGTAGTCGCTTTGTTACACATACTTATATCTGTAGTGAAAGGATTTACAGAAATTAAAATGCTTTTAATGTTTTATTTTAGTGTTTGAATATGCTGTCTGGATAATATTTATTAATGTTATCTTAATATGACAAAGTGATGTGTAATATAGAAATGGATCGTACAACCAGTGAAGTATATAAGGTGAAATTGCATTATCTTAAATGATTTGTATTTTGTAGCCTTCATCTGCAATGATCAGTAAACTACTTTTAACTACTAAAAAGGAAATTACAAATCAATGCAATTGTCTTCTTTTATCTCACTTGAACATATTGTTCTCTGACCACAGTATTTTTCATATTATTTCAGTCAAATTACATCATTTTGCTTTGTATCCTTGTTCTGATAATCATTTGTTTTGTAATTCTGACTTGTCTTGTGAACTTCTTACCCTCTTGTCGATGAGTTTCAGCATCTGTCTCATAATGTTCACCATGTGGACAACTCCCACGTAATAAATTACATGATACAATGTTTATGTACTGCATATGACATTATTGCACCCAGGGCATTGTATTCACATTCGATGATTTTCCTTTGTATCATCATTCACCTTTTATAACTTATACATTTACATGTACCTGGATATTTTGGTGTTGGTAAATTTTAGGACAGCAGGACTTGTTGTTGGTTTCATTTCCATGCCTACAATATATACGTGTATATATCAGAAAGCTAAAATTTTCAGTGTCTGAAAGCTTGATATGAAACCTCTTAATGCTTTAATACTGAAAAGTATTTCCAGTTTTCTTATTTTCCCATTTATACTCAACAATAAAAAGAAATGCACAAATTTCCCCCCTGCAGTACACCTTAGCTGTAAGGAAATAATGAAATATTTAGTGAGGTATTACATCAAGAATGATCTCCCTTCTCTACAATCTACCCTAAAATTAGCCAAGTGTGACGATGTCATTGTCTGAATTTGTTAATTTCTTTAGTCCAAATCATGCGGCGTGATCAAGCCAAGCCATATTTAAAACAAAAAAGAAGAAATTTCAGTGGATACTCTAAGGTCACCCACATTACTTTTCCACGTCGTTATTTTGATTTTGCCATTAACCGAGTTGCCACGCTTAATGCAATTTCATAGGGATGGAGCAATTGCAATATTGATGGATGGTCAAAGCCAAACTGCTGTCGCACGACAGTTTCACATTGCCCCGTATACCATTAACTGTCTCTATACACATTTCCATGCTACTGGGTTAGTTTATGATCGTCCCAGGAAGGTCGTCCGCATGTAACAAGCACATGTCAAGACGGCAATTCGATTGTCACACTTTCGCATCAGATTCAAGACTGCTTTAGGTCTGTGTCGCATACTTTAGGTACTTATGACAGGCGTATTGTGTTCAAACTGCCAGGAAACACTTTCATGCCAAGATAATCATTGCGCACCGACCTTATGTCGGTTACCTCTGACACCACGGAGGCGACAAGTGTGTTTTGACTGGATGGCAGACATGGCCGGAATAGGTTTGGGATGCGTCGTTGGGGGTGTGATGTCCACCAACGAGTCTAGATTCTGTTTGTAAAAAGGGTATATCCCAGACGAAGTGAGCGTTCTGCCGACACATGTATCGTAGAATGCGATAGCTTCGGTGGAGCTTCTGTAATGGTTTGGGGAGTAAAATCTCCCTTATTGTTCCGGGACCCAAACCTCAATCCTGTTCAATACAGAGACCAGGCACTCCAACCACATATCCTTCCACTTCTGAGATGTCATAACCTAATTGTTGTCAGATTCTCACGGCAAACAATGTTCAGTCTCTTCTGGAATGGCCCCCACATAGACATGTCTCCCATTGAGCATCTGTGGGATGAGCTGGACAGGCGTATTAGGAAACGTCAACCCAACCCCCACCCCACCCAACCCCACCCAATAGTGTACAAGATGGTAGGGAATTGACCGATTTTTTTCGGCTCTACTATAATCTTACCGGAATGTACACTGTGGTAGGAAATAATGTAACAAGATGTTAACAGACAGACTAAAACATACACAAGATGGCTATGCTTTGTTTTAACAATTGACCATGTAGTCATAGAAACATTGTGTTCGAAGACTCTTCTGAAATAGTAATAAGTGACGTTTATTTTACCATTGTAGTATTATGAAAGACTTGCCAAGAGAATCGAGGAGCAGAGAGATGCAGCGGAACAGGAAAGACAGCGAGAGCTTACCAAACAGCTGGATGGAGAGAAGGAAAATGCCCTGAGAGAACAATGGGAGGAATGCGAACGACTGAAAGAGATTGCCATACAGGAAGCTTGTCAGGTTCTCACCAGAAAACTTCGGCTGGATTTCACGCTGGAGAAGGAACGTGCTATAGCTGCTGCTCTCAAGGAACAGAAGGTAGATAACCAGAGAAAAAGTACACAGTGGATGGAAATGTTGGTAAAAACACATGTAGTCAGCAGGTGACGACACCATATCTTTTTAAATCAGACTGAAAGACTGAACTCCAATTAACTAAATATATTGAAGTACTGTCACAGTACCCCGCGAGAAAAATTAACATGTTTTATCTGCACTAAGTGCTACTACCTGTCCATTGTAAAATACTTCCAGGATACAGGCATTTTTCCATAGTATCAAAAATTCACTTAAGATGATAATATCATTATTACATGCCATCTTCATTGAGTTTGGCTGTTGCAGGGATGTAAAGATCCAAACAAAAAAATCATAAAGATATAAATATTCTTGAACATTATTCTACATGGAAAATATCCCATACTTTTGAGTGTAGGATCAAACCAATAGGTAGAAATTAAGTATGCTCCATTGGTCAACCAAATTACTTTAAGTAACCCAGGTTGACAGGGACAATGACTATTGATAACTGTCATTTGAAATTCACATATAAATAGAATGTGGCCCTCTACAGAGTTTCTGTAATGTGACCCCACACATACCTTTGTGTACATGTAGGTTTTATGTGGGCTCAACTGTACCATGGTCATGAGCTGTATGACCTGTACATATATTGTCATAACTTGTCATTTTAGGGTGAAGGGGAGCTGATGTCCAGATAGGCAATATCAGCCACAGGTGCAGCCTGCTGAAACTTTATTACATAATATATATGTATTACACTGTGATTGAAACATGTTTAGAATTAACAAGTGAAATAAACAGTGTTAGAAGTAGATTTCATATCATGTTAAGTTTCTGCAGTCAGTGGGAGTTACTGTTCTTTGTATATAAAATTTTACCTTAGTCTGGGTGGTACGGACCCAGGACCATATAACTATCCAATATTTCAGTTCTTGTTTCGTCAATCACATATGGCGTCTCTTTTCCTGGCATTAGCGATGATTTACAAAGTCAAAACTTAAGAGAGTTAACGTTTTTGGCTTAATATCATTTCTTGGGGCCAGAATGATTTGTCCATTTTTATTTCCATAAAATATTGCTGACATATTTTTATAAAGTAACATAGTATGTTTGAGACAAGTTATTTTGCTATCTGTAGGAGAGATTCCTGATCAGAGAGCAGGAAACAATAGCAAGAACAAGAAGAGAATGTGAAGATTTAGCAAAGAAGGAAGCCTTACGTGTTGCCAAAATTCACCAGGGCGAAGTGGATCGTTTAAATTACAAGTAATGTACTTTATGTTTTGTGAGGCCTGAAAGGATGAAGTGAATAATTCAAAACTGCCACCAGTTTCTTTCACAAAGCTGTTACACAACATCAATAGATTTGAAAGATACCATTTATTTAGCATCAGTACACCAACAGCTTCAAAATTATTGAAAATTCATGTTTGTGGGGGGAATTATGGTATGAGATGGAATACTTCTAGCAAGTTTAAAGAATTATGATGATTAAATTACTTAACATGACCTTTAATAGAAATTGATATTAGTCAATATTTGTGGGACTTAATAATTGTTAGATAATTCGTAATTCAGTACCATACTAACTACAGGTGGTTGTTTTAGTGTTATGTGGTATCAGTATTGAATAACTATCGATTTCCACAGAGAATGCTATCATCTGTATGGTTTTTTTCAGAGTGATAAGATTACATACGTAAATCGTTGGAAATACATTCCACTACATGGTGAGATCCCTGGTTAAGCAGGGCTCTCACACCCCATTTTGGGACTGGGGCCTAGGGCCCTGAGAATTGGGAAAAATAATGGTGTTTTCCTTAGAATTGGGAAAACTTGGGGTCTAAATTGGGAAAAAAAGATACTATTTTGCACTGGGTATTCGGCCCCAAATCTGGCAGATCGAGAGCCCTGTTAAGGAATACATTTGATACATGTTACAGCCTAAAAGATTAATCTACATTATGTTGCAGAAATAGAGACCAAATCTTACTTCTTTTCTCTTCTGTATAAGCATTCAAGGCAATTACATAATGTACACTTAACTAAGATGCGATCGAGCTCTCTTTTTTAAGGATCAGAGCAAATATTAATTGGGAAAAGATCATGTCAGTATTCAGAAAAGTACTAAGGCACCTGACAAAATGACGCAAATGTTATGTAGGATTTAATTGTTTGTAACACAATGTAAGAAGCATCATCCTTTGACTGATCTAGAGAGATGCTAATACTCAGCTTGATAATTGCTTGATGAATGTTTTTTTTAACCAGGTATGATGTTCTGGAGAAGAAGTATCTGAAAGAATTGGATCATAAAAACCGACTTGAGAATGATTTTAGGGTAAGACTTCTGTATGGTACTGATACATAATTGTTGATTATTACGTTTAGAATACTCAATCAATTTTTATGACAAGAATTAACTTAACATATGTACAACATGTATTTTAATGAATTATTATATTCTGCATTTTTTTTAATGCTGAATAAAAAGGAATCTATAGATACAGACAATAAGAGATTGGAAATTTTTGCCACATCATTCTGTAAATCGGAAGCTGTATTTACATAACTCCATTCCCAAGTTAACACAGATGTATTGGAATCAAACTTTGGTTACATTTGCGTATCATGTGCATATATGAATGCTTATAACAGAAATTTTATTGAAAAAATTTGGATTTTTGTCCATCTTTAATGTGATACTAAAATTGTAAGGTATTAAAAATGAAGGAGTAACTTTAAAACTCCTGATAAATGTTTGTATATTGTCATATTCATATAAGAAATTGAATGATTCCTACATTCACAGGGACTTCAAGATGACTACCGTAGGTTCATGAACTACACCGATGGGAAATTTCACTCAGACTACCTCATAAAGCTGCGATACACAGGTATGCAGCTAGCCAATAAACGGATCAGTGAAGTAACATATGAGAACATTGAGGATCTATTTAATCCAAAACAGAATGCCAGTGTACATTTTTGAATATACTATATCACTTCTGGGCAGATGAGGAGACATTCCAGGAGCCTTTGAAAGAAAGAAGGGTTCATTTAGAAGAACAGCTGTAATAACTTATTTGGTTTCTACATTGTACATAAAGATCTTACAGATGAAGGACTCAGTCACTGAGGCAGGAGCATAGATTGATTGAGGCAAATAGATGTGACAGCAGATGGCCTCAGACACATTGATCTGACAGGAGGTGACTGAGACAGAGCAATCTGACAGAATGGACCAAGACACATTGATCTGTCAGAATATGGCCTCAGATACATTGATGTGACAGGAGATTGACGAAGACACATTAATCTGACAGAAGATGGCCTCAGACACATTGATCTGACAGAAGATGGCCTCAGACACATTGATCTGACAGAAGATGGCCTCAGACACATTAATCTGACAGAAGATGGCCTCAGACACATTGATCTGACAGAAGATGACCTCAGACACATTGATCTGACAGAAGATGGCCTCAGACACATTGATCTGACAGAAGATGGCCTCAGACACATTGATCTGACAGAAGATGGCCTCAGACACATTGATCTGACAGAAGATGGTCTCAGACACATTGATCTGACAGAAGATGGCCTCAGACACATTGATCTGACAGAAGATGGCCTCAGACACATTGATCTGACAGAAGATGGCCTCAGACACATTGATCTGACAGATCTGACAGAAGATGGACTCAGACACATTGGTCTGACAGAAGATGGCCTCAGACACATTGGTCTGACAGAAGATGGCCTCAGACACATTGGTCTGACAGAAGATGGCCTCAGACACATTGGTCTGACAGCAGATGGCCTCAGACACATTGGTCTGACAGAAGATGGCCTCAGACACATTGGTCTGACAGAAGATGGCCTCAGACACATTGGTCTGACAGAAGATGGCCTCAGACACATTGGTCTGACAGAAGATGGCCTCAGACACATTGATCTGACAGAAGATGGCCTCAGACACATTGATCTGACAGAAGATGGACTAAGACACAATGATCTGACAGAAGATGGTCTCAGACACATTGATCTGACAGAAGATGGACTAAGACACATTGATCTGACAGAAGATGGACTCAGACACATTGATCTGACAGAAGATGGCCTCAGACACATTAATCTGACAGAAGATGTACTGTGATACAGTGAACTGTTACAAGACTGACTGAGACATGTAGATGTGACAGAAGGCAGACTGTGACACTTCTGTCTAACAGAAGATTGATTGAGACTCATTACATTTACTAAGTAATAATTTTAGCTCTGAAATGTCATATTATGAACTTGGTATTCCATTCTATACTCTGTACACATTTTTACTTTAAATCTGCTTTGATTTCTGCACCATAATGTAGTGCTACATTTGTACATTGATATTATATACATAAATCTGCACCATATATATAGCTAGGGGCAGGTTTATGACTCTCATATACTGTTGAGATTGCTTTGTTAATTGTTATCTACTAGTCACTATATGACAGCATGTGTTGTTTAGAGTTACTCTAGTTAGTTTTTCTATATTAATTACTGCAGCTGGGACTGATGGTAATGCACAGTTATAAAAAAGTTCTTGAAACCTGTTTTGTTGACATCACTGTCATCTTCATAACACAAATGCCTAGTGTGAAGCATTTAGCACTGATGTATGGAATGTACTAGGAGGTATGAATCAACTGACTTATAAGGCTATACTAAATCCTTTGTAAACAAAGATAGGTTGATCAAATGGTAAAAAGAAAAAAAAAGTCAGTTTCAAGTCAAGGACATGAAAAATCAGTGTTGCTTGTTATTTTTAGCACACCTGGCTCAAAGTGCCAAGTGAGTTATAGGGATACTGTGCCCATCATCAATCGATCATCTGTCAACTTTAACTATATATTGCAACTATTCATGAACAAGTGAGCGGATTTTAATCAAATTTGGTCTAAAACATTCTCGGGGAAAAGAGAAACTATTTGATGTAAATGGAGGGTGTGGCTTTGCAGGTGAATATCATGTATAAAACAATACGACACAATGTGCATTTACTTGCAATTCTATCATTTATTACAACCATAAACACTATATCAAGCTCATTCATTGCTTAAATTTAAATTCCCCTCATAAACTTCTCTCTTTTCTATACCAGTACTAAAAACTGACATTATAATCCCTTAAGTGGAACGGTCATTTTGTGTACCTCTGCCATTTCTATGATAATACATTATACTGATCACAGGTTTGGTGTAATATATGATACTATGATTCACACTAAAGCTTCTCTATGGTTAGTCTATATTGTGGTAATGACATTCAAATGTAAATATTTGAATGTTGTATTTTGAGGTATTGATATTTCGTGATAAGTAAACATTTATTAAGTTCATTGATGGTGCTGGTTTCTTAAAATGTGTAAATAATTACACATTATGTAGAGGGTATACATTTCTGTACAGATATCACATAGCAATATAATGTATAGAGTGAAAAGCATTAAAACTACCTGTGATAATAAATATATTCCTATACATGTTTGTGAAATAGAAAGAAATTTTAATAAATATGTATTTTTCCACTTAAGATCTCCTGACCAGTCCAGTTAAACTAATCACCATTTGGTGTTTCTCAAGTTTCATGTTTATTCTTATGTTTTTTAAGTGCATAGTATGTTTTTCATTTCAGATAGGTTAGGATAGGATAAAGTTTATTGACTAGGAAATGGATTTCCTCTCCACTTTCATTGCATGTTATACCCGTACCTCGATTTATTGTAAAAAAATTCAATGAATATTTGGTTATATCTATAAATTCACTTACAATAACTTCTCAGTTTCAAGTAAATGAATACTTTTTCCATATATCCATTGTGAGAAAAAAGGATAATTTAAAAGAAAAAATGGTAGTAAGTTGGACAAGCATTGTTTATATGAATGTTATGGCTTGGATATTTGGTAATGCGTTTATCTTTTGTAGAAGCATAGGATTGACATTCTGTGATAAACAACGTTGGAATTCTAGCCTGCTGTACAATATTATAAATTACAATCTGATCTAGACTTCTTCTTGTCATGTTTCCTGAACATTGTCATTTTAATGTATTGCCAATGTCTTGCTGTTTTTAGTCATGAAATTTGTACAGTGGCCATAGTATAACTAAGACATATGTGTCATGTTAATTTTACTTATTGTATGACATTGTATAGAAATATGGGGAACTGCTTGTATCAAGATGTTCACCAGTATCATGGTATTGTATATATGTTATGTCAACTTTCTGTGATGAAACTTTCCATTGTAGGGTACCATTAAGTTTTGTGTATTTTACCAGCGTCAACTATCGTTTATAACTAAGCATACCTAATTACTCTAGATAATAAGGTCATATTATATTTGTTCAGTTTCAACGTCATTCCATTTAGTTCTTTTCATGTTTTTTTTAGAGTTCACTAATATAAAAATGCATTATGGGTATTTTTTACACAAAGGTTTTCATTGGATGATTTTCAACTAAAAGAGGGGTTCATTGGCTGTTTTTTTGTTGAGAGATGTAAGGGAGTTTGTTTTGTTCACAGAAAGACATGATGTCATTGCTAAGTTTGGTTAGTCTTAGACATGCTTACAGCTTTAGGATGATTATTCTTATGAAAGTAATGTTGATACTTTTTATGTCTTTAATAATAGTTTACATTTAATGTTTTATTTAGTTGTGTTTATGTTCCAAAGTTTGTATTTCTGGTAAATTCCATCATCAATTGTTTGAAACATTTTGTGAATTTAACGGTGACGGTTTGCTACCTTATTTAGAACAAAGCTTTATGATGATGGTTCCCACATTTTCTTTTACAGGTTAGGGTTTTGGTGAAGGTGAGAGAGTTCTATTGAGGTGTTTATGGTCTCTAGTTGGGATTAGGAATAGGATCTGAATTGTTCATGTGTATCGTTTTGTTGTTATCTTATTTTCAAAGATTTTATATCATTAATGTAAATTTGCAGAATTCGAAATTTTAGAGTAAAGGAAAACAAGAAAGAAGTATCTTTAAAAAATATATATAAATCAGAATTTTGTTTCTGACGTAATTTTACATTAAATTTATTTATGCTCCAAAAATTAGTGCTTATTTCCGGACATAACATTATGCTACCTTAGAAAAAGTATATTTGATTGTACTGTTTTATTTCCATTCCAGATTGTACTAATTTATTTCCATTCCAAATTATCAGTTGTTAGAAAATGTATTTATTTTATCATTACATAACATGCATATATTCTTATTTACATGTCAATTATGGGTAAAGCTTCACATTTGATGTTTGTAACTCAATATTAGATATATGAAAATAATAAGCCTTATATATTTATTTAACGATGCGATGTTAGCTTCTAGTCAAATCTTAGATTTAGAAAACATTTTCACAAAGAAAAATATTAGATAGAGAAACTGTACCTGTCATCCTACGAATTTTATCTACCTTACCTTTGTGATTTCGAAAACTTCCATTCAGTGTTTCTAAAATGTTGATTTGACTCTGAAAAGAAAATTGAGATAAGATTAGAATAATATATTTAGGTCAATTCAATCTTTACCTGAATTTGGAAAAAAAAATCATAAATTTGATTTAAACAGAGAATGATGATGAAGGTAAGTTGGTTTCCCTTGCAGTGTCCTTTCATTGATTAGCTACATGGATATTTTGAGCATTAAAATGCTTATAACTTATTGTAACAACCATGGTATCTGCATTGTGGAATATCTAAAAAATCTTGTTCAGAATAAATGAAAAATAAAACTATGATTGGTTTTGTGTTTAATATCGGATCACGTTTCTGCATCAAGTGTTCAACGTTTCCTATTGGCGGGAAATTATTTGGAGCATTCCGATACATGTGCAAGGTGTTATAGGGTGTATTCAGAATTGTACACATGTACTTGACCTTTTTTTACGTTGTAATTAACATGTTTCTAGACACTCATAATGATCAGATATCAAATT